GAGGCGACGACAACCCTCTTCAGCCCATGTTCAGTAGGGACCGCAGGCAGGCCATGAGAGACGTGCTGTGCGCGGAGGTCTTCTGCTGTTTTGAACTGAGACGGGAATGACAGTCACACTTCAACCGCTGTAAATTGTAAAGGGACCAGTTGCAGGTTTGAGCGATGGTTAGTGTCAGCGTGCGGAGATCGGGATAGCAAGSGGGGGGGGGGGGGCACAAAGGCGATGAACAATGGGCGTGGAGACTATGTCCGAGAGAGGCATGCATTGGCTCACGATTTGGAGAAGATGGAGCGAGAGGTGGAGTTTCTGCACAAGTTCTTGGTGGCTAGGTGTGTCGGACCCGCCCGGATGGCGGTCCGACAGGATGCAGAAGAAGGGGTTGAGGAAGGAGGAAGTGGAGATGGAGCTGGAAGGGACAGCGCAGCTCTGACGCAGACTCAACACCGCATGTACTCCAACAGTGCAAAAATGAAGAATGACGAAGTACAGACTGCAGCTGGGGTATACCCCCAACGGACTGACTCGACTGGACTGGTACCGATCATGGGACCGGGCAGGACGAGACTGGACTGAACAGTACACGGCCTGTGGGGTCAGGCCACGGCCTGGTCCCACAGGCCGAACTGGCAAATAGCCGGATAGGCCCTGGCTGCAGGCCAGGGAGATAGAGGCCCGTTGCACGATCTTCAGACCTGTAATGGATCGCAAGAGCCATAAACACGCTATCCGCAAAAGCAGCGGAACTCTGCAATAAAAAGAAAGCTGAGAAATGTAGGATGCGAAGCACGCTCCATGCAGAGTCCATGCGATGCAGCCTAAGCTACATAATGTCAAATGAAACGCAAATGTCTGGTATACACATCCTAACTAACAGCAGAAAACGAAATGTAGCAATATACAATCCTAAAGTCCTGGAGGCAATTGCCTCAGTGCTAAAAGAAAAAAGAGCAATATATCACAAGATAATGTCATGTCGCTGAACCACTAAGAATGGAATGGTCCTTGAGGGGGTGAATGCAGCCTAAGAATCGAAACTCCTAAGGGCAATCACACATGAAGGTGGGATAGGTCATCAGGCTCAAGGTGGGAGAGTCGTAGCGAAACAAAACCAAGGACCCTAACAGATAGACCATCAGGGCGGGTAATGCTCGACAAAATGATGACACCATGCAGGGTCGACCATAAAAAAAGGGGGAGCCTGGAATAGGGTGAAGATATGCCTAACTGAAGGCATGCAAGGGTCGACACTAGGGTGATGAGGACAGTGGGTGAGGAAAACATGCACACAACTCACTGACTGGGGAGGAGGGAGCTAGATCTGGGAGCAAGGAAGCCAAAATAATGTTGCGGTCCCAATGCCTATGCGATACCAAGGGAGAATCCAACTCAAAGAGACCCAGCCAAGTGAGAACCATCATGTGACAAATGCTAAGTGAGAACCATCATGCGACAAATGCTAAGTGAGAACCATCATGCGACAAATGCAAGGGAATGTACAGGGTAGGGTGGTGGAGTGAAGTAGTCACGTCCAAAGTAGCTGAAGCCGATAAGATGGCTGAAGTCGAGAAGGTGACTGAAGTCGTCGAAGTGGTCGATGACGTCGATGAAGTAGGAGTCGAGGTCGATGTCGAAGCAGAGCCGCAAAACGCTAACATCCTGAAGAATCTGATGATGGAGTACCTGATGGTGTGAGTCAGTAGGGAGATGGTAGGTGATCAAAATATCAATCGTCAAGGCGCCGAGGGCGTCGACGAGTGCGCTGTGGACGCGCAGAGGCGTCTGTCTGCTGCTGAAGGACGGCCTCAGAGGGAGAGGGCTCGTCCTCAGCGATCTCCTCAGCCGGAGGAGGAGGAAGAGGGTCAATCGGCTGAGTAGGAGCAGATGTCTCAGCACGACGAGCATGATCATATGCACGCACCAACATCCGGGCGTGCTCCAAGTGCTGGAGGGCCTCCCAAGTAGCCTCCTCATCAGGATAACCCTCCCAACACACAAGGTACTCGATGCGTGGAGGAATATCGTCGGTAACTTGACGAGATACGATGTCGGAAACGACGAACTCCTCGTGACCGTCCACCATGATAGGTGGAGGACGCTCATAAGGACGTCCGACGAAGCGCTCGGACGGTCTACGATAAGGACGCAACAAGGAGACGTGGTAAACATCGTGTACGCGAGTCTGTCGAACGTAATCAAGTAGCTTCGAAAGTTGACAGGGTTAGCGGCAGTATCGGAACCGACGACCTGAAGGATGCGGCATGGACCGAAAAAACGACGCCTGAACTTGCGAAGCGTATCCGCTCCGAGCTGCAAGTGGCGTGCGTCGACGAGCACATCGTCATCGACTTTGAATGGATGATCCATTCATGACCGGTTTGCTCGTGCGACCATGTGGGTCTGGGAGTCCGTTAGACTCTTGTGTGCGCGCCCACCATGTGGGCGATCCAGTCGTCAAGCGCAAAACAACGAGTGTCTGGGCGCAACCGCGATGGTCGAAGGAAGTCCGCAGGTATGCGAGGGTGGTAGCCGAGGTCGCAATAGAATACCGACATCCCCATGGTTGGCGAAACAGCGTGGTTGTACGCAATCTCCGTGTGGGCTAAGTGTAAGTCCCACTGCTGGTCATCACTAACAAACTTTCAGAGGATATTACCCAGAGTTTTATTGGTGACCTCGGTCTGATCATCCGTCTGAGGGTGGTAAGACGATGAGAAGCGGAGCTGGGATCCGTAAACTTCGTGTAGGCGTCGTCAGAATGTGCTGGTAAAGTGCGGGTCACGGTCGGAGATGATGCTCTGAGGTAAGCCGTGATCTCTCACGACTTGGTCGAAGACGATGTCAGCGACCTCACGAGCGCTTATACGGTAGCAGCACGGGATAAAACGTGCACGCTTCGTGAAGTGATCGACGACGACCAAGATAGCATCATGACCGAGCTCAGTGGGTGGGCGGAGGGGACCAATGAAATCCATCAAGATGGACTGCCAACGACCCTCGGGTATAGGTAGGGGTTGAAGTAACCCATACGAAAGGTGGTTCACACTGTTCACCTGCTAGAAGGTAGGACACTCCTGGATGTAGACTTTGACGAAGTCCTTGGACTTCGGTCAGAAGTATAGGCGGAAAACACGAGCCAACGTCTTGTGGAAGCCCATATAACCGACAACTGCCTGGGCGTGGAACTCGGCCACGGCCTAAACGCGGAGTTGTCAGTAGAGGGAACCCAGATACGTGGTTCTAGCTGCCCTGATCTGCCATGCCAGTACACGGGGCCGTTCTCCTCGAGGGAGTAGGAAGGAACGGTCTTACCACTCCGCAGTGTTGTGTGGATGACGCGGTGATCGGGGTAATGGCGATACTAAGTGCGATATGCATCGATCGCTGACTGATCAATAGTGGTGATGGAGATGGCAGCAAGATGGATGGGTTTCTGATTGTGATTAGGATGCCGGGAGAAGGCATCGGCGACGTGGTTCGTTTCACCCTTGATGGGCTGAGTGGTGAAACTGAACTAGGATAAGTCAAGCTGTCGGGCGGCTGCCTGCCAGCCGAGGGCTTTTCTTTTTCGAAATAAACAATAATTTTTTTCTTTTTTGCAGTTTTTGCATGGTTTCGACGTTAAGTGCCTGTGGGTATGGTATTTATGGATGTTCTCGGCCATCCGGGCCTTCGTACTAACCCTTCGATTGGCTGGAGTGACGGTCCGAACCTTGGTCGCAAGCAGGCCCGGGTGAACCATGAAAGATTGAAGATTCGGTGTCAGAATCTGAAAATGCGGGACGAGGAGCGTGCATCGAAGTGGGTCGTGGTCGGATCAAAAGCAGGGGGTCAGTGAAGGCCCGAAGCCACTACTGCCGCGAGTGCCCACGGCAGATTTTTTTTCTGAGAGTTGCGCCATCAGAAAATCGAGAGAAGCGGCAGGTGAAGTCGCGACGCAGCAACCTCCCGAGATCGGGCTTACAAGACGGAGGCGACCAGCAGCAAAAAGGGTCGCAATTTAAGCGGGTGCGGGCTTGACCCCCAGAAAGAAGAGGACCTCGTAAAGCTGAGTTCGGGCAGTTGCGCCCGACGTCCTGAATAAACAGGAGGTCGCCACCTCGGACCGGCCATATACGACAGGTGAGGTAGGCGAAAGCCGTAAGCTGAAAGGAATTGGGGCCATGATGGCATGTGAACCGACCAGGAGGAATGACATTAAGGATGGGGGAAAATGAGGGGGAAATATGAAGGGGCGGAGTACAATGGAGAAGGAGGGGCTTGTAAGGTGTCAGAGGGAAAAGGGAAAGGCTGCGCCTCCAGCTAAAGAAGTGGCTGAAAGCGAGCACCCCCTAACCAACTAGCAGGCAGATTCAGCATGACGAGCCTACGGGGTACTGAGTGCTAGCTGTAACTACCTGCATCGAGCTGAGTGGGGGAGCAGGCGGAGGCGCGAGTTCCTATGATGGTCGTGCAAGTCACGAGAGGGGCCGACGAGACCAAGGAGGGGAAGGGGGCAGGCCTTTACATAGGCCTGTTTTCTGGGACGAGGAAACTGACCAGGATGCAAACTGAGTATGAAAATTGGGCAGCAAAACAAATTCGTTGACATCAAGATCGGTTCTTGAAAGCTATCGTACCGAACTAGGAGGGGAGACGGATGGACAAGAGTAGCGGCTCGTCAAGCCCAGGGAGGGACGAGCTGGCGGAAGAAGAACGAAGACGAACGGGCGGAGCTTGCCGTCGCTAGTAAACTGCGCGGCAGGCGGGAATGAGAAAGGGGGGGGTACGGATCCGCAAACAACTGAAGGAATTACAGTGATTGGGCAAGGAGGGGAGAAGGTGGGATCGCAGCGCAAGTGGGAAGTCAAGTTGAGACGGCGCGGGAAGGTGGCGAAAGGGTGGCCAAGGGAAAACGAAAAATTGGCAAAATATTGGCGGGCGACGAGGAAGGAGAAGAAGGAGGCGGGAAAAATGGGAGGCGAGATGATTGGACGAATAGAGGGAGGGTATGATCGACGCGGAGAAGAGAAAGGACTATAAGAGCAAAGGAAATCGGAGAGGGAGGGATATAGAGGAGGAGGTGGGAGCGCATGACTGGAGCGTACGTAGTCTTCGCGCACAGTGCCGCTCGAGTGGCAAGGCGACCTCGACTCTGGACAACGGCCAGCCCGGCGGTGGTGACAGGACGGAAGAAGACAGAGCGGCCGTTGGTCTCGCACACGCCTACTAAGCGCACGATGCCGGGCTTGAGGGTCGGAGGTGAGTACGTTGAGAGAGAGAGAGAGAGAGAGAGAGAGAGAGAGAGAGAGAGAGAGAGAGAGAGAGAGAGAGAGAGAGAGAGAGAGAGAAAGGTTGGCGCGCACGAAGAATAAACACACGCYCCAGCGTTCGGTCGTGGGGCAGCCTCTAGGAGATCAAGCGTTCGGAAGGGGGAACACCGTGCGGCGAGCTGCTGCTCTACAAAGAGCAAGAACTCGAGAGTAGATAGGGAAGGGGAGAGAGAAGGGGGAGGAGACGAAGAGGGACACGCACGGGGAAGGAGTGTTCGGGAGTCCGAGCTAGAGTCGCGCTACGGCAGCGCCGAGTGGAGTCCGCCTCAAGCCGCAGTCGACAAGGTGAAAAAGGGAAGGGCGCTCGCTGGGCTCTTACTTAGGGACGCTCGAGGGTGGTAGTGGGGCTCCGCGACTCCCGGTGGCACTAGAGCCCAAACCGGTTCTGGAGAGAGAGAGAGAGAGAGAGAGAGAGAGAGAGAGAGAGAGAGAGAGAGAGAGAGAAAGAGAGAGAGAGAGAGAAAGAGAAGGACGAAGGAAACTGCAGGAGTCGAGGCGCAAGAGAGCACGCACTCGGCCACCAGCTGACGAAAGGGAGAAGAGAAGCGAGACTGCCGCCCATGCGCCACGCAGCCGCGGCGACCAAGGACGAGAAGCAGGGTGCGAAGAGTTTCGAGCATGCGACAAGTCTGCGCCCGTCTAGCTCGAAGTGTCGCCAGGAGCCGTACTCGAGTGGACGACGAGTGATGGGGGGGGCAAGGGGGCCATAGTTGCAGCGGCGGGGCATGGTCAGGCCCGAGCGGCGAGGGAGCTCGGCCGAGGCGCGGCGCCGAGGTGTCGACCTACGATCAGCTCAACCCACGCTGGGCCAATGACGACGGAGTTAGTTGGAGGAACGCCTGCAGCTTCGGCGTGCGGTCAGCTCATGCAGCGCAAGAGAGATAAGGGGAGGAGTAAGGGAGAGGGAAAGAGTCACGCGGGGGGGCTCCTGAAAGGAAGCTCGAAAGAAGGGGGGGAAGTAGAAGAAGAGGAAGGAGAGTCACCCTCGGAGCAGGGATCGCGGGTCCTGTTGTCTAGCGAGCTCGGTACTGCGTGAGGGTCTCAAGGACGCACAACGCGTCGTCAAGTGCCCAAGCAGTTGAAGTCACCGGAGTGAACGCCCCTCTGGTAGGGGGCTTTTGAAGAAATCTGAGGGTCGGGAGCAGCTGATAAAACTTCGCTCCGGGTGGGTACAGAGAGATAGCGAGAAAGAAAGAACGTGAGAAGAGGAGTGAGTGAGAGAGAGAGAAAGATCGAAAGCAAGGAAAAGGGTGAGTGGAGAGGCGGAAGAAAGGAAGAGTCGGAGGCAGAGGAAGAGGAAGTCGTAGGCCAAATTTGAAGAAGAAATCGCTGCCTCATTTTGTATTCTGATACCGTACWGTGAGCTGCTAAGAATCTTGTTCGAAAGCGGCCATGGAACTGTGTATGTGACCAGGCACGGGGAATGAGTTTTCTTTATTTCACGTGTTAACCGCGCGACTAAGTGTCTCGTTCAAATGCGGCACGAAATTATGTAAGCGACCTAGCTCGAGGACTGAGCTTTCTTTATTTCGAGTTCCGATACCGTACTGTGTGTGAGCAACTGCGTGTCTTGTTCAAATGCAGCCATGGAACTGCGCATGTAACGAGGCACGGGGACTGAGAATTCTCTATTTCGAGTGTTGAGACTGCTCCGTGCGTGCGGCTAAGTGTCTTGTTCAAATGCGGACACAAAATAATGTATGTGACCAAGAATGAGGACTGAGCTTTCTTTATTATTTTGATACCTCACTGTGTGAGCGACTACGTGTCTTGTTCGAGCGCTGCCAAGGAACAATGTGTGTGACCAAACACGAGGACTGAACTTTCTTCATTTTGAGTTCTTAGACCATACCGTGAGTACGACTTTGTAAGTGACCTTGCCACTGCACATGGCGAGTGGCCAAGCTAGGAGCACCGAGCCCTTCTTTCTCTAGGTCACTGATACCGCACCGCGTTAAGTCCAAAGAATGTATGGGCTCTGCATGTAGCCAAACTCGGAATGTTGAGTCTTCTCCTCTCAAAACTCTGAAATCGCTCTCTTCTTCCCCTTCGGGTTTTGATACCGAAGGGTGTCGGTAGCCTTGACCCTGTGCAGCCCCTCATTTCCTTTTGAATACGGATACTGCTAAATGTTTGTGCCCTCTTCTCCGATCTGAGTCCTATCGAGAGCCCCGAAGTCGTTCTCTGTACAGGAGCTAGTTCGAGGTTCGGTACCCACGTCAAATTAGAAACCGTCTAAACGCTTAGTAGGGGTGCTTATTCTCTCTCCCTCGAGAGCTGGATGTGTACTCGGCACAAGACAAGGTAGGAAGTTAGCCTGAAATTCGCCCCCCCTCCGGGCGTCTCAGCCTGAAACTCGCCCCCCCTCCGGTCGGAGACGCCGAAGAGGAGCTAGCACGACAAAGTGGCGCCGTTGCCGGGGATGACCATTTCTCCCGCAGCCGCGGCCGGCTCGGGGCTGACCACGGTTCCAACTCCCGCAAGGGAGCGAGACTCTCAAACGGCACCAGTTCGGGACTTGGGGGGGAGGAGAGTTGTGCTACGGGTACCGGGGAGAGGAGGAGAAAGAGAGACACCTAACCATCATAGCGAGGGCATTCGAGAAGAGGGGGGTACTTGGGGGATCTTAGACGAGGGATCGGAGGCCGACTCCTGGGTGGACCGGTGTCTGGCCGATTTCTTTGACTCGGAACTGGGGGACTATTGGGACTACGATAACGAGTATTGAAGACCCAAGGTACGTATACTTATCAACCCCACCTGAGAGCCTCTTCCTAAAGCTCCGCTCTTCCCACCCTTTTTTTCAAAATTCTCGATCTTCCAGTGATTCCAAGAGACAAAAGAGGCAGCAGGATGCGTAAAAGGAAGAAGGGAACGAAGTGCGAAGAGTTCACGATGAGGAGGATGGGGGTGGGGTAGATAGGCTAGCGATTTCCGATACATAGGTGGATCTTGTCCTGGGACCCGGGTAATTCCACGCCTGAGGTGGGCCGAGTAGAGGCGTGGTACCGGATCGGTTAATTAGGACTAGAGGTCGGTTCAGTGGGGGACATAGGGCGCGGGTGTGTGACTTCGGTCCGACTCCGGGGAGGGGGTTGCCACCCTTCCTCGGGGATAACCTGTGTCCGCAGCTAGTCTCTAGGCCGAGAGTGGGGAGGAGTCTCTCAGCGGGGGAGGACAGGAAGGTAGCCGAGTGAGACGACGTTCCTTCTCTCGTCCATTTGATCCTTCTGAGCTCACAGGCTTCTTCTCCTTGCGGGATAGAGGTGGTCTCTCGAGTGGCCAAAAGGAGATAGGAACTTTGGGAATTTTCCTTTAATTATACTGTATGAGCCTAGAAGCCGTTCCAGAATGGATTACTGTGTGTACGCACGGAAGTGTTGATGTGTGGTGCTACTCCTTTAGACTATGGACTGGGGACTTTGATGTTGGTGTCTATGTGGAGGAGGGACAAGATCAAGGAGAGGACTTCCTTCGGGGGTGGGAAGAGGCGATAGGCCACTCCCACTGTTCGCGGCGGGAATTGAGGGGTTACGGATTCAAGTATTTCTACTCTCTATGATATCGAACCTACCCAAGAGGTGGTCGCCCGACGCCAGTGATTCCGGACGCTTATTTTGATGGATCGGATGGATGGAAAGTACTAGTGGGGATAGTGAAGCGTATGGTGAGAGTGGCGGATCCATGAGCTTGAGGCAATTGGAGTTTGAACCCGCAGGAATTAGTGTAGGTGATATAGGCAGAGTAGATGTTTGGTGCTATACCTTCTACTGGTGGACCGGGCACTTCGACATAGCCTTGTACGTGGAAGAGGGTGTAGATAGAGCAGCAGGGTATTTGGATAGCTGGGAGGAGGCGATCGGTCACGCGCGGCTTGAGAGGCAGCTGCTGAGGGCTTACGAAATTAACTATTTCTACTCGCTGGGGTGTAGGACGTATCCGCGAGGGGGTAGCCCAGTCCCCACTATTCCGGACGCCTTCCTGGACGGGTCGGACGAGTGGAGAGTGTTGGTTCAAATCAGAGAGGAGATAGTCCTAGGGGATGGTTAGAATCATAGAGGTACTGAGGAAGAAGGGGTTCGGGTAGACAAGGCTGATATAAGCAAAGACCGAGAGTGCTTCAACGTCCCCTTAGACCACCGCACAGAGCGGTATCTAGCCGGTCGCAAGAGGGGGGTAGAGCTAGAGAGAGGGGTTTTTCTTTGGGCTCGTTTCGCTGTAGGAACCTGGGAGGGGGACAGTTGGTCCTGGAACACGCCCCAGAACGGGAAGAGACCCAGGCGAACAATGATTCGTGCGGAAGGAACTGTGTACTTGAGTAAGGAAGCCTGGGTCGAGTACGTCACACATTTGGTCCTGGGGTGGTACCGTGCGGATCATTGGGAGGCACGGGCATGACCGATTTTGAGGCAAATCTTTGAGGCTGAGCCCCTTGGACACTGCCCACCCGTCGAGGTGAGGGTGACCTGCGCGCGAGACGAAGAATACCCCCGTGCCACAGGGTGCGTCAGGGCCATATTCCCATTATTTGTTTTCCGAAGGGTGAGCGGGAAGGAGGAACGGTACGACAGGATAGTGCGGTCCATAGTGCGGGAAAAGGGGTGGCAGCTCTCTGTTAGGTCCCTCCATTGGTACTACACCTATTGCGTGGATAACCCGGTGCCATACGGGATCAAGGCTTGTAGGATTTGTGTCGGGATCTTTAGGGAGTCCACTCGGGACCGCGAGGGAGGAAGGGACTACGGATACCAAAGAGTCTTCAGGGTGCCACAAAGAATCTTCTAAATGAATGGTGTTCCATGATAGGGAGAAGGGATGCTTCGTAGAGTCCTCTTTGGAAGACCGTGAGGCCCTTAGGCTGGTTCCTAGCAACAGGGAAGTCCCTTATTGGGAAAGGATAGAAGGAGTGAGGTCCACGGTTAGTGGGGAGTGCGTGTGGGTAGAATCCAAAGAGGTAGAAAGTCAAGGTTTCGGGCGGAGTCTTGAAGTAACCGCGGTTATTTTCGTAGCACCTGAGGCTTGGACGAAGCTCGTAGTACCCGTAATTCTGGGACAAGGGGGTGGGCTGGAAAAATTGTTGAAAGAGGCGAGAGAGGTGAGAAGAGAATGGATAAGTAAGGTTAGAGAGCGATTTGCGTTCGTGTCCGTGGAAAGGGAGAGATTCGCGAGGGAAAGAGAACTTCCAAGGTCAAGTTACCCATTAACGGTGAGAGTGCCATCTTACCTATTCCCTGGGGCGAGCGAGGGAAAGATAGTATGTCTTCTGGAGAGGGGTAGGAATTTGGGACTTACCTTCAGGGCCTTGTGGATACTGTACACGCACTACGTCGATCAGGGTGTTCCACCGCGCAAAAAACTCTGGGGTATTTTCCGAAGGCTAGGTTCTCTAGAGAAGCCCTTCACCCTCTCTCCGGAAAAATATCTCAGGTGGGTCTTTAGAACGACATTAGCAAATGGTAAAGTTCTTTCTCAGTGAAGAAGGGGTGGTAGAAACGATAGAGGCCAGTGACGCCGAGAAGGTTTTGATTCCGGGAGACCCTCAAGTGACTCCTTATTGGATGAGCGTTGAGAAGGGGGGATTAATCAGAGAAGGGGCCTACGTGTGGGTTCGAGCGCAAAGACTCACTTGGAAGGAAGGTGTGGAAAGAGGGGGCCCACCCGACCTCGGTCGCTTCCTAGAGATCCGGGCAACCATTTTTTTCGACGAGGAGAGGTGGACTGAAGTCTGGAGAGGTTTAGTGACCGGGCAGCTTACGCACTTTGAATACCGAGAGTCCGCAAGGCTGTTGGCGAACAACTCAGTGTTAACTGACTACGAGGAAGGGACTTTCGAGTCGTGGTCGCTAGTGTTCTTCGCCGAGCCCGGAGAGGTCCCCCGCGCTTCCGAGGTCCTTCACGCTAACCTGCCCTAGTTCGTGGCCAGTTCGTTTCTAAGGGACTCGGAGGAGAGGGTAGTAGCAGTGCTTAGGGCGGCTCAGGAATCCGGAGTGCGGGCTAGGGGGTTGTTCTCGCTTCATACTCGGTGTGTGGACGCAGGAGTTCCCCCAAGGAGTGAGCTATCCGCCATATTCGAAAAATTGAGAGAGTTTGAGGGGATCCGATCCCTCGTCGCGGACGTTCCATACGCCCGCCTCTTTGGAGAAGAGCAGGTGGCTAACCGGAGGGGTTTCGAGGGCCGAAGATAAGGAGGATTCCGGGAACTCTCTGGGCTTCCATAGAGCCCGTAGAGGATACCGGGGAGGTTATCAGTGTCACTTTGCCTAGGGCCCGGTTGACCGAACCAACAAGGACTCTCCTGCGGGAAGAAGGTGAGATCCGGCATGGTAAGGCGTTCATACAGTTTGCAGTAAGTTGCCGGGGGGAGGCAGTAGTTGGAGAAGCCCGAATATTCCTTTCGAAGGAGGGCTTTGTAGAGATAGTGCGTAGCTTGCGGATTGGGCAGGACCCTCTCTGGGACGTTCGAGCCGTGAGAGGCCGTCTAAGAGAATTAGTGGAGGAGTTGAGGCCTCACGAAGGGTGCGACAAGGAATGTCTAGTGACCTATGGGGGTTGGGAAGAGATACCGCGGTTCCTCTCCAGCGAGCCTGTGGAGGTCCCCAGTTTCATTTTTGAGCAGGTTTACCCCTCCGAGGCTGTTAAGAAGGCGGTGGGAAGAAGGGTTTCCATCCTAAGTCAATTCAGGTTCACGGGATCAGACCTTCACACCTTGTTAACTTGGTGTTCTCGGGATCCCTATAAAGACGATTGGTCGACTCTAGAGGACCTGGGTTACGCATTTGAGGGGTGGGGCCAACACGCGAGGGAGTAAGATATCGTGGAGGTACTTAGGTAAGATCTGTGAGGGAGAGTTAGCGGGATTAGACCTCTCAACCTTGATTCGGATAACAATTGCGTGTCGTCGACGGAGGTTAAGGGATGACCGAGCCGGACCTTGAGGAGCTTGTGGGGTTGGATAGAGTGAGGGAGGAAGTCCATCGGATCTTTGCTCTGTGCTGGGGAGAAGAAAGGAGGGCTAGGCTCGGGTCCTTAGCCAGGATTAAGCTACTGGAGACAGCCACAATCGCTATCCTCGACGAAGTCACGATAGACCTTCTCTCGCGGTGAGGGGATGAGAGCCACATTCGTCTCCAATAGGATTCGTTGGGAGTTAGAGACCTACGAGGACGGAAGCGAGGTTAGGGTCGAAGGGGGTGCGGAACTTAACCCGGAATTGGAAGAGGACCGGGTAGTCCGCGCCGAGACGGAGTTTCTAGAGGAGGTCCGAAGGCTGGCTTTGTGGAAAAGAAGGAACTGGACCACGCTAGCTACCTTTTCGGTCCACATTAGAGACGCGAGTGGTGTGAGATTCTCAAGGACTTGGAAGGAGCCTTTGCTGGAAGTAGAAAGACAGTTCGAGGAGGACTCAAGGTATCTAGGAACGCCACTGACGTCCAGGACACACCTTGTGGAAACCGGATTTTGGGATAGAACGAGCGAATACGAGGAGGCTTTGCGCCAAATCCTAAGAGGGGACAGGGAGACAGGTCGAGCTAGGTGCGAAGACTCGTTGGTCGAAGTCGCTGAGCGGTTAGCGGGCGTGAGGTGAGAACTCCCATGAGTAGATACGAAAGAGGGGACCCTTACGGTACCATAGAGAGGATTTGGACGTGGGGAGGGAAATATGGAGTGACCCTCCTAAGAATTCAAGGAGAAGGAGAGGTGACTAGAGTTCTTCGAGATTTACGAACAGGAGACGTGGTCAGGTTCTCAGTGGCCTCCGAAGGGAACTACTGCACTAGAAAAGCGGAAATCTTTTTGTCCCCTGACGCCCAGCTGATCTTCGCAACTGAATTAGCTGAAGGGAAGGATCCTCTAGGCATCCCCGAAAGAGCCCTAAAACGAGTGCAGAGATTGAGAAGAGTTGGCACCGGGGACCCCGTGATTGATTAGGTAGAATACCGAGGAAGGACAGAAGTTCCAAGGGCAGCCCACGGAAGAACTTGGACCATCCCCACTTGGGCCTATCAACTACTTTATGCTGACGACGAGACCTTGCAGAGAGTCCGATTGAGGGGTCAAGTGATAGAAAAATTCCCTCTTGGTGAAGAAAGAGGCCACGAGTTATTCACCCAGTGCTGGGAATCGAGACAGGACACCGACTTCGAGTGGTGGGCACTCGTTGGGGAGTTCATCAAACCTCTATTCTCCGGACAGCCAGGTGATGTGGACAGGGATTTGATTAGAAGATGTGCGCAAGAGGGGGGTAGGGGCATCTCGGACCTAGAGATCGTGAATCTTGCGTTGGCCGCTAGTGAGGAGAAGAAACTGAGGGATTCTTGGTGGACGGTAACCAGTGAGGAGTCGGGGGGGGAAGGTGCGGACGAGGCTTCTAGTGAGGAGAAGGAGGGATCAGAGGAGGAGGGGAACTCGGGAGGAAACAGGGAGAATGAGCCGGGAAGTGACGCAGGCGATAGTGGAGGAAGCGACTAGAAATTGCCAATAAGGGTGCATGGAGAGTGAAGTGGGGGCGGGTCTCCCAGTCCGCCGAAAACCACTGAAAGAAGGGGGATAGTGAAGAGCCCCGAGTTGGGGGCCAGTCTAAGTAGAATAGTGGAGGAAATGACAGGGGGGGCGGAAGCGCTAGATAGGGCTGAAGGAGATCCTGAAATCGCTCCGGGAGAAAGACAAGCCGCGGAGGGGCAAAGGTCCGACACGGAAGGGCGAGTGCACAGGGATGTGGGTCCGCGGGTGCCGATGAACGAAGGGGTGGCCGAAGCCGCGAGAGGCGTTCCGGTGGAGTCCCGATGGGCTGACCTAATGGATGCGGAAGCAAGGTTAGAGGGAGCCAGGAAATTTCTAGAGGTAGACAGGGGTATCGACCGCTTAGGGGGGAGGAAGAGGAGTGTCAGGTCAGGAGGGACTTGAGAGAGGAGAGGCCAGCAGAAGCCGGCGGCCGGTCACGGAGATGGGTCGAAAGGGTTCCAAAGGCCGTCACCGGTGAAAGACAGGCCTTAGTAGGACCAAGAACTGGCACCGAGATGCGAATCTCTGCGCGGGAAGGAGCGATCGAGAGCTCGCGGGGCCTTCCCATAGAATCTCGGTGGGGGTATTTACCGGACGCAAGAATGGGAGAAGTCCTGGAATTTCCAAGGGATAAGAGGGGGTATCGACCACCCCGGAGAGAAGAGGAAGGGGTACCAAGTAGAAGGGGCCTTAAAGACGAAAGGTCGGTGGAGGCTGGTAGTAGGCCACGTAGATGGACCGTGAGAGAAGCAAATGCTGCATGGGCGCCCGGTGAGATAACGGGCAGGAGCCAAGGGGTGGAAGCCTGGAGAAGCTTTAGAGGGCAGGACCACGCTCGGTGGGAAGCGGACTGGCCGGATGAGCGAGGCCGCTACGCGGAAGACCTTGAGGCCAGATAGAGGAGCCCGATCCCTCGTGGTACAAGCCATATGATCTGACAATTGATGGGCCAATGGAAGGTCCCTATTTTCGCCGATACTACGACCGACGGGTGTCGTATTACAACGTCAACCTGGGTCTGGAGGCGCTTTTCTTCGATGGACGAGATGTAACAGGGTTCGTGGAGAAGTGGGAGAGTTATGCTTACCGTAAAAGATTCTCCGAAAGAGAATGGATCGACTATTTTATCCGGCACTCGGACCCCGAGTTAGACACTGCGATCCGGGCTATCTACCCCTCAGACGGCAGGTGGAGCATCTTCAGGGCGAACCTATTGCAGACTTTCGCCTGTGACGACCTGATCCCAACCGTGGAAGGCTTGAGACGAATTATGAGGGGGGATCGAGAGAGCTTGGTAGCCTTCACTCGAAGATTCAAACGCCTGTCCCAGACCCTAGTGGACAGGGGAATGCTGTGTGAAGTAGATAGGTGCGTGATGTTCATGCTGCACCTACCAGAGGAGAAGAGGAAAGAGGTCCTTGAAAAGGCCCCAAGGGATTCCGCAAATTTCGAGAAAGTCGTGGAGGTGGTTTTCACAGGGGAAGGAGTAGATGTGAGGGAGTATATGAAAGAGCCCTTGGACATGGCACTCGGCAACATGCGAGGCACGCGAAACGATGGTCCAAGGGGGAGCGATAGACCGCCCCCGGGTCCACCTGTTCCTCGGTGGGGAGAACGACCGACCGGATGGAGGATCAAATCTAATAGCCAAGCAGGTTGGAGGAACGACCGGGAGATATGGGGAAATCGTAGTTCCGATTGGGGGAGTTCCCATTGGAAGGATGCTAAGGATGGAAGGTGGGGAGATGCCCCTCAAGCAAGGGCCCTTGGGCCGCGACTGGAGGTTAGGGCGCCACCACCACCGGCACCACCACCATCGGCTCCGCCGACGCCTATAGCGGCGGCCGCGCAAGGGGGACCACGCCCCAGCAATCCCCAAGCTCGAAGTGGGTGTGTATACTGCAATGAAGAACGTCACGTCAAGACGGACTGCCCTTATCTCACAGAGGCTTTAAGATTGGGAGTGGTCAAGCTGAATGAGAACAAGTGGGTTGTGTGGGGAGATAGCGGAGAGGCGGTCTCCTTTTACCCATCGATGAAGGTGAACGTGGACAAAAGGGTGACCCTCCAGGAGGCTAGGCTGGGGAAGAAACCGGAGATCGGAAGCTCCTCCAACACAGCTCATATCCAGATGATGGAGTCACCAGGAGGGGTGTCCATTAGGGAACCCCAGGTGTCAAGCATTAAGTTCATAGAAACCCAGCCCGAGGAAGAGAGGCCCTGTCTAAGGGTGAGGATGCAGGTCGGGACCGAGACATCCGAGAACCAAGCAACCGTGACGGAAAGAACGGAAGTGAAAAGCGGCGACAACGACCAGCCAATGACCGATGCGAAAACGGTGGAGGAAAAGGAGGAGCCCACGTCGCCAAAATCGCCTAAGAAAAGGGGGCCCAAAAAGTTCGAAATGAAGTGCACTCTGGATGAGATAGACACGGTAGCACCTCTTAGGAGGACTCTGATGCAACCCATGCATTGCACTCTTTTAGAATATCTAGCCGCGAGCAAAAGTGCCAGGGAGGAACTCCTAAGCATCACTAGGATGGTTAGAGTCCCGATCGTTGGGGGACCCACGGTACCGGTGGAAGGGCCTCCCGCATTACTCTGGAGGAACTACCTGCCAACTTCTTCTTGGGAGAAGAGGCCAAGAAATTCTATGTCTTAGGTAGCGGCCAGCTCCAGGCAGTGGTAAGCGGGAAAAAGATGAGGGCTCTAGTAGACAACGGGTCCGAGTCTACGGTTTGTAGGGATTCCATCGCACGGGAACTAGGTTTGGAGATAGATCGAGGGGTGACAATGTCGATGGTGGTGGCCGACAACAAGCTGCAACCGGTGGAAGGGGTGTGTCATAACCCCGTGATTGAGGTAGCTGGGGTAAAGGCCACAGTTCCGATCTTTTCGGTAAAAGAATGCTCCTCCGAATTGATCCTCGGGAGAACCTGGCTGAGCACGGTACACACAACCACAGTTGATTTGCCAAATGGAAGTCAAACCCTCTCGATCCAAAGCCCTGATGGGATCCGAGTGGTCCTAAAGACTGTAGACGCTCAAGATGAACGTAACCGGACCAGCCTTACTAGACGCAAGGGGACCAAGTCGAGGGTGTGTCGAGTCCGTTTAGAGGAAGTGCCCTCGACGAATAGAGGACCCAAGGGGGACCAATTGGAGGTCGAGGACGTGGGGGATAGGATTGTAATTAACGATATGGGGTACGAGAAGGAGGACGAGGAGGAGGAATTCAGTGGGTGCGTGAGTATGTCTTTTTTGGAGGGATCCCCCTAGCCGGCGGAGTTAAGAAGCACAAAACCGTGGCGGAGAAAGTAAAACCCGCCGCAGTCAGCCGGGATAGAACGGGGGAAGCTACAATATCGGAAGAGGAGATAGCCGATATCATTCGGGAGAGGAAAGAGACGGAGGGGCAAAGGACAACGGCCGATAGACTGGCCAAAATGGATATAGGGGATGAAAATCTCACGGAGGAAGAAAAAGGGTTCATAGCGGTGACCTTAAGGGGTTGCGATAAGGCCATTGCCTTTGACGACTCGGAGAGAGGGAGAATCGACCCAAGGTATGCTAAGCCTGCCCGTATCCACACGGTCCCGCACGTCCCTTGGAAGGATAGGCCTCAATGGAAGTACGCTCAAAAGGAGAAAGAAGAGATAGTGGCCTTCATCAAGGAAAAGATCAGGACATTCGTCGCGGAACCTTGCGAGAGTGCCTACTCCAATAAGTGGTTCTTTCTAAGGAAGGGAGGTAGCAACAAACTAAGATGGATCCAGAACCTCCAGAGGACCAATGCAGTCATCGTAAGAGACGTGGGCTCTATACCTAAGGCCGACTTGCTAGCGGAAGGATCGGCGGGTCGCTCAATATACTCTATTTGCGATCTCTTCTCAGGGTACGATGAGATTCGCTTAGATTACCGGGACAGGCACATGACCGCCATGCATACGCCTTTAGGGCTGATGCAAATGATGGTAGTACCGATGGGTTGGACGAATGGGGTAGCTGTGTTCCAAAGAGCCATGATAGCGGTCCTCAAGGAGTTGATACCAGAGAAGGTGGAGGTCTTCCTGGATGACTTCCCGATAAAAGGGCCGGTCGAGCGGGATGAGACGGAGGTCTTCCCGGGGGTTAGAAAATTTGTGGCTGACCACATGGGAGATGTCAGAAACGTCCTTGAGAAACTAGACGATGCCAACCTCACGGTAAGTGGGACTAAGAGTCGTTGGGGCGTATCCTCCATCAAGATATTAGGGTTTATTTGCGATAAGGAGGGGCGGAGGCCCGATCCCGAGAAATTGGTAAAGTTAATGACCTGGCCTTCGCCGCTCAAATCCATAACGGAGGTCCGACAGTTTCCAGGGGTTGTGGGTTACTGGAGAATCTTCATAAAAGCCTATGGAGAGAAAGCGGAGCCCCTGAGAAGACTCCTCACGAAATCGGAAGGATGGGTTTGGGGAGAAGAACAAACCGATGCCATGGAAGCCTTGAAGGGGGAGTTCCGCGAAGGTGGAGAGGTCCAGGAGTCCCCTTTTTCGAAGACGAAGAGAAACGCCCGTTCATAGTATCCATGGACGCTGGACCTCACTCAGTGGGAGGCCTCCTGTCGCAAAAGGATGGGGAAGGGAAAGAGAGACCGTTGCGATTCGAGAGCCGGACCTTGAATCCCGTAGAGAGAAATTATAGCCAATTCAAGAAGGAAGTGTTGGGGGTACTGCATTGCCTAAAAGCCTTCCGTTACTACCTGTACGGATGGCGATTTCTCCTAAGGGTGGACCCGACAGCAGTGGCCGCAGTCCTCCAAAAGGATTTCTCACTGACAGATCCGACCATCGCACGCTGGATGATCCATATCAGGCTTTACGACTATAGGGTCGAAAGGATCTCGGGGACCAAGAACCAGGTCGCCGATGGATTGTCCCGGCTTCCCATTCGAGAGGAGGACCTGCCTAGGCTTAAGAACGAAGATGAGACAATGGCCAAAGAGGCGATAATGAAAGTCGTTGCTAATAGGGCGCAAATAGCGGGGAGCAGCCGGGGGGAAGAAGGGGGCCCAAGGACTTTTCTCGCGAATCTCTATGACGGGAAGTACCGAGACATAGGACTCTACTTGGCCGGTAGGGAGACAGGGACCGAGAGAATGCGGCAAGAGGCACTGGGGTATTGCTTGCGAGAAGAGACCTACCAAGTTCGCGATACCCATGAGGGTGCTGTGCGATCTGAAGGAAAGAAGGGCGGTTGGTCGTTGGGGGTCATAGGGGGGTGAAGGGCACGTTCGATAAGGTCCGTAGACTTTATTGGTGGGACGGGCAATACACGGAGGTAGAAAAGTATTGTTCCACATGTGAGGCTTGCCAGAAGAGAGCAACAGTTCGATATAAAGAACCCTTAGTTCCTTCACTCCCCACGGTTCCAGGCGAGAAGGTCCATATAGACTTAGTGACCATGCCAAAAGGGGTCGGCGGTCTTCGGTTCATAATCAACGCCAGGGATGACCTCAGCGGGTTCGTAGAAGCAAAGGCCATTAAGAAAAAGACGGCGGAGGAGGTGAGCGAGTTTCTCCTTGAATATATCGCGCGGTACAGATGCGTCGGGAGGATAGTAATGGATAGGGGTGCAGAGTTCTTGAGCCAGAAGGTAAAAGGGTTATCGGAAAAGGCGGGAATAGGGGCAGCCTATACGACCGCTTATCACCCCCAAAGCAATGCACCGGTAGAGAGGGGGCACCAGACTCTTGTGGACGCTCTAGCGAAATGGTGCAAAGGCCGCCCAAAACAGTGGTCGAGGTATTTGCGGTACGCTGTTTGGGTCGATAATATCACGGTCAAGTCCAGTACCGGGGACCCTCCTTACACCTTTGGTTCGGTAGGCATTGTCCCCTACCCATCGAATTCCACATTGACACTTGGACGAGTGTCTCATTGAAAACTAACATGTCTAGGGGTGAATTGTTGGAGGCGCGGATACAGCAAATAGCCGAGAACTTGGATGTCGGGGTAGCCACGGCCAGTGAGAATATCGAGAGAGAGAGGATGAAAGGGAAAGATAGGTGGGACAAAAATCTGCGGGTCCGGAAGGCGCCGATAGGGATTGACGATCTAGTGTTGATGTACGATTCGTCACTGGAAAAGACTTGGAGCCGAAAGTTGGCGAACCGATGGATGGGGTCGTATAAGGTCCTAAAGAGATTGGACGGGGGAGCTTATATGCTCGAGGAGTTAGATGGGAGTAGGCTAAGGGACCCTATCGAGGGGGCACGTCTCAAAATCTTCCGATCGAGAGGGACCCTTGGGGAGGAGCCAAAACGAGAAGGGAAGGAAGTGCTCGAAGCAGAATTAACCATCACTCATGAAAAGGGGGAGACCTCCAGACAATGGGGCCTCGTCTCGCCCAACCAGGAAGGGGTATAAGGTTTGGAAGCCTTCGCTACCAAAGACCCCTAGGAAGAAGAAAAGGCCTAGAGAAGAAGAAGGTGACGCCAACCGGTTAGGGAAGCGCAGGCTAAGAGAAAGGAGGAGTGCCTCAAGGAAAGCCTTGAAAATCAAATGGGAGAGAGAAGAAAGGAAACGGAAGAGGGAGAGTCACGAGAAGAGGAAGAGGAGACGGAAACGGTCGTAGGGTGATGCGCCATGAGTCTTAGTCCTAGGAATGACGATTGTACCATAATTAGAGAGGGAAGGGTGTACCATAGTTAGGGAAACGTGAGTCAGGAAAGGGCGGTATGTTGTGACGCCGAAAGGGATTTTGTACCTTAATTAGGAGAAACGAGCATAGTTAGGAAACACGGGCGTCGAGGGGCGTGGGTAACCAGAGGAACAAAGGGAAATGGGATGAACTAAAATAAGGGATAGGGAAATGCTATGGAGAGGGCTCGCCGAGGACGGCGAGAATTGGGGTGTGGGCTGGTTGTCGGGCGGCTGCCTACCAGCCGAGGACTTTTTTTTTTCGAAATAAACAATAATTTTTTTCTTTTTTGTTGTTTTTGCGTGGTTTCGACGTATGCATGCGTGTCGGTATGGTATTTATGGATGTTATCGGCCATAAGGGCCTTCATACTAACCCTTCGATTGGCTGGAGTGACGGTCTGAACCTTGGTCGCAAGCAGGCTCGGGCGAACCATGAAAGATTGAAGATTCGGTGTCAGAATCTGAAAATGCGGGGCGAGGACCGTGCATCGAAGTGGGCCCTGGTCGGATCAAAAGCAGGGGGTCAGTGAAGGCCCGAAGCCGCTGCTGCCGCGGGTGCGCACGGCAGATTTTTTTTTTGAGAGCTGCGGTATCAGAAAATCGAGAGAAGCGGCAGGTAAAGTCGCAACGCAGCAACCTCTCGAGATCGGGCTTGCAAGACGGAGCCGACCAGCAGCGAAAAGGGTCGCAATTTAAGCGGGTGCGGGCTTGACCCCCAGAAAGAAGAGGACCTCGTAAAGCTGAGTTCAGGCAGTTGCGGCCGACGTCGTGAAGAAACATGAGGTCGCCACCTCGAAGCGGCCGTCTACGATAGGTGAGGCAGGCGAAAGCAGTAAGCTAAAAGGAAGTGGGGCCATGATGGCATGTGAACCGGCCAGGAGGAATGACAGTGAGGATGGGGGAAAATGAGGGGGAAATATGAAGGGGCGGAGTACAATGGAGAAGGAGGGGGTTGTAAGGTGTCAGAGGGAAAAGGGAGAGGCTGCGCCTCCAACTAAGGAAGCGGTTGAAAGCGAGCACCCCCTAACCAACTAGCAGGCAGATTCAGCATGACG